TATATTCTTCAAACATCAGCTTTGAGTATAACAACCATTCTCAAACTGGAGGCAGACAATATGAGAAAATGAATTACGAAAATGTATTATAGTAGATTATTTCACCTTAACCGTGCGTTTAATTTATTTTAAATAAGGTTGAAATAATCAGAATATATTACAGGCAGTTATCAGTAATACGCACACACTTTTACACACATCGTTCAGCCATCACGGCCGTTTGAGTCGGAAAGAAAGACAAGAAACGTTAAAATGGTAAGAGGTGTACGAGAGAGGGAAAGTGACCCAATACCTGGCAGTGTAACTTGACTGAATTGGGTGCGATATACTGCCAAAGCGCTCGGGCATCCTGTTTGATTTCTTATGGCAACAAAGGATAGTGATGCGTTTGCGGAGCCCAGTCGGCGTCCTTTCAATAACACATGCCAAAATTTGAAGGGATTCCATAGATGGTAGTACTATAATCAAGCATTTAAAAAATCAAACACTGATAGAACGAGTGAGAACTGTTAGTTTTATGTGTTTGAGCATAATGCAGAAACTTACTTTTGTGTGATACCTGTTAAGTAGTTATAAGAACCTTCAAATAATCCGAAGGGGTTTTATTGCCAATTTTATGATACCAGTCCTTGGTAGGTTAAGGACAATTTACTGGGGCACGTTTTTAAGCGGACTTTTAAAATTATAACAGTATAATCAGATCCAGGTTATAATATTAATAAAGATGTTGAAAAACGCTGACTACGTCAACAGTGTCAGAAAAATTATATTAGTGGAATTAATTGTGTGAAACTGACTACGATCTGCTGTTTTCTTACATGGACATTAATGCGTTTTATCACACGTAATCAGTTTTTCTTGACAATGTTTAGGCATTTAAAATAGACGAATCCTGTCCCCCAAATTACCATCTCTAAAAAGGCGTTAGCGTTTTTTATATATGAACACGGGTCCAACAGACTGAAATGCAAATTAGACCGCTTGACCTTCAATAACATTTGTTGTAGTTTAAAATGGATTTTAAATATTATTTCATTTTGGCAAGTAATCAGGCTGTTATTAGGCCTATTCTGATTATAAAGCAGAAATAGTTATCAAGCGGTTTATGATAAATTCAATTAATCTGAAATGGCAGAAAAATTATACATTTATTGTGTATTAAGTTTTATAAAACAGTAAATAACGTAAATGTATCATAAAAAAGAGCTTACATGGCACATTGAAAAATCTGATAAAGCGCATCGATGAGAAGTACCTGACGAACATGATAATCCCGACTTTGGCGATGTCTTCCTGGATAACTTTCCAGGACTCCTGGATCATGTCGATCTGTTCCGGACTCAGACGCTCGGCTGCGGGCTCTGCGTGCCTCATTCCCCTCCCCGACTTCGGCGTTAGACCCAGTCCCGATATCGCGCAGCCCATGATCTGCGATTTGCTCCCACGAACGACGCACCTCTAATGAAAGCAACGGTACAGATGTTCTTCGGAGGCGACCAGCTTAGCCGTTTGACATGTGTGCGTCGGGGGAAGGAGGGTCCGAACTGAAAACCGTAACCTTCGCTTTATTAGGGGCTCCTACCCTGTATTATCTGGGAGGGGGGATATAACGAATAGGTACGTTTGTCTTTGCATATAACATATGTTCGATGCATATAGGCTACGTAACATAAATTTAATTTGTATTAGACTATATGATGCATAATATATGCATGCATAAAATCTTATTAAATGTTCTTTATTACAATTGTATTTAATGTTCCCTCATTTACTATTATTTTAAAGAATATTACATTTCTAAGTATCATTATTGATATTTTCAGATGTAAAAGTGAGAGTTTTCTTATCTTGTAAATATTACCTCTTTCTGTAGAATACATCCATATGGGCTGATTAACCTCCGGGACCCCCTTAAATGGGTGCAAACCCCCACCCCCCCCCTCACCCCCCCCAACCCCAAATGCTCAACCAAAAGCTATTGCATTGAAAAAGCATTTATGCATTGAATAAAAACTCAAAAGTACAACCAATCCCACATATTAATTTAAAGTTTATACCCTCAATAGAACAACACAATGTTAGATGCCTCTTTCGTCTGGCGTAATAATTACTAATAAAAGACACATTTAGGCTGTTATATAGCCTGGAGTGCAAAGGCATGTTACATATACAGCCGTCTGGCTCCCTCAGTGCCTCTGTGGGCAGTGGTGGCTTAATGGTTAGTGAAGTGCACTTGTAATTGTAAGATTGCCAGTGTGAGTCCCCGCCCAGCAAGGCACCACTGAAGTACCCAGAGCAAGGTACCACCTCCAAGCACTGCTCCCCGGGCTCTGAATTAACTGCCCCCTGCTATGTCACATTGGGTTAAATGCGGAGGACACATTTCATTGTTGTGCACCGTATGACCACTGATCACCTAATTCTCTAAAAGAGAACCCAAATGATTGGCTCCACCCATAACATGGAATCAACTGCCTGAGATTGCAACTAGTACAAAGTCTTCGAGGTGTCAGTAGGGTACATATACATTATATGGACCAAAGTATTGGGACACAGCTATTAATCATTGAATTCAGGTGTTTCATTCAGACCCACTGCACTCAGAAAAAAAAGGGTAAAAATCGCACCTTTGCTTGTCACTGGGGCTATGCCCTTGTAATTGTACCTTTTAAGGTACAGATTTGGACTCAAAGGTACAAACAGCATTAATGTGCCATTAATGGTACAGAAATGTTCCTTAGAATCCAGTTACCTACAGCTAAAGGTACAACTGACAGACCCTTGAGGATACAGCCCCAGTGACAAGCAAAGATACAAATTTTTACCGTTTTTCTGTGTGTGGCACAGGTGTATAAAATCAAGAGCCTAGCCATGCAGTGAGGCTTACAAACATTTATAAAGGAAAGGGCTGTTTTGAAGAGCTCAGTGAAATCGAGTGTGGTACTGTCATATATGATGCCACCTTTGCAAGAAGTCAATTCGTTAGATTTCTTCCCTACTAGATATTCCACAATCAACTGCAAATGCTATTATTGCAAAGTGGAACCATTTAAGAACAACAGAAACTCAGACCACATTAAGTTAAGTCAAGTTTACCTAGCCATGCAGTTTTTTTTTTTTTAGGAAGATTGGCATCCGGGCTAAAATACTAGGGGCTAACGACGCCCATGGCCCACACAGAGCCCTGAGACTGGAAGCCGTATACCTTTACGTCCACCATCAGTGTCAGACCTCACAAACGCTCTTCTGGATGAATGAGCAAAAACATGGACACTCCAAAATCTTGTGGAGCGCCTTCCCAGAAGAGTGTCAAAGGGAGGATGAACTCCATGTTGCTGCCCATGGATTTAGAATGGGATGTCATGACAGTTCCTGTAGGTGTAATGGCCAGGTGTCCCAAAAATATTGTCCATGCGGTGTATGTACAAGCAGTGCTTGAAGTGGGAAAAAATAAATGCAGGAACTCTAATTTTCTCGGGCCACTGTCGCTGCGTCGGATCAGTTTCAGTAAGTACCGGAACGCAGAAAAAAGTGGCGGAACCCAAAAGACGAAAATACAGAAGTTCCGGAACTGCGTTCCGGCACACTTCAAGCACTGTGTACAAGGTGAAACTCTGCAAATACAGGATAACCATGGTTTATATAGGCCCTGCTTAATAACACACTCGCTTATATAGATTATATACACACTAAAATGTGATACTAAATTAACTCGCTGCTTTGAAGTTTACTTTTGTGGCAGCCGCCTAAAATTTAAATAGCGTTACATACTTTCGCTTCTATATTTATTCTTGAAAGTGCGAAAACGGCTAGCAGTCGCTCAGCCCGAGCAGGTCGGCTACACAGGACTGACGGCCCTGGGAAGAGATTTTAATTCTCCACATCTTTCCCATTCAGTTCCTGTCGATTTTTTTTCCCTAAGTATTATGATATTTGTGGCACCATATCACCAGTTCGCCTGAAAATTTCATCCCCGCAAAGGCCTGTCGGCTGCCACCAATTTACCCAGTAGGACCCCATTTGGAAAATGTCCCCAGCTTTTAATTATGAATTTCTTAAACTGGTAATTCTGCGCAAAACTCGACTTGTGAAAAGCAGGCATTTAAAGCTCTACTGGGGCACAGCCCCCTCATCCCCCGTATAATCTGATCGTGAAATTTTACTGGGGCACAGCACTTACATACTGGTGCACGCGCCCCAGTAAAAGGGGTCTATCGACTCCCATGCAGGCACATAACGTGTTTGAAACCACCCCCTGCCCGAATGTTTTTTGTAACCGATCACACACGCAGCCAAATAGCAAAACTAGGAGTTTTAGTCGCCCTCAAAATATATTTCTCCTAAGGTCTACCAAGGAGGACCCACCCCACAAAATCTATGAAGAGGGACCAATCGGCAGGGTAGCCAAAACCCCAGCACCCTGGTGAGAAGCATTGCCTTGCGGAGCTGCAGCGGCAGAGTGCAAACATCGCTGTTGGGGCTGCAGGTACCGGGAGTGACGCAAGCGGCGGATCGCGAGCTGACGTGAAGTAACGGGACAGAGGCGTGCGACTGGAGTGATTACGGTGACAGAAATCCGTGGTTCTGTAAAATACATTTGCGTACTTTTAATTTATATTATTCCATCATAAACCTAAAATGAGCTATCTCGCAATGAAAATTTGCACAGAACTGCTTTAGCTGGACTTTGCCACAAGGGGGTGCTGGGCCTTGCTTGTCCATTAGGGTGGGGTGAAAAAATCAAAATTTCCAATAGCAATTTCCAATATATCTCATCTTTAGTTGTGGATGTGATTTTTTTTTCATAGTGAAGCACTTCAGCCACTTGTGCTCAAAATTCCAGGGATGTTCACATTGCATTTTGCGATATGACTTGTTAACCATGTTTATGTATCCGACATCAGTCTGTGTTCCTGGCTCGTCACAGGACCGATTGACATTTGAGCCACGGACAGAAAAAATAAGAGGCGGAACAGGTGAAGAAACGGTCTGCTACAATCTAAACTGTAAACCATTGTTGGTTTAATAGTGAATTAATGCCCCTTTGAGGAAACATAAAACATTTCTGTACAATGAACTTTCTGATACATAACAGAATACAATACACAGAAAGATATTTATATAAAGTCAGACAATTATGGAATAGGAAAATATACACCAGCTGAATAAATAATGTGGATGGCAATATACATGATTAGGAGAAAGAATTAGTCCCAGAGATCAACTGATAACAAAAATCATCATATGAAAAGCAATGTTGCACACCTGGCCCCTCCTGTTCGCAGGGCATGATGGGTAATTCCTAACACTGGGGAGCTTACCTTTCCCTTACACTGCTGTAACAGGTGTGCCTGCAACCTGCGACGCCACATTTAATGACCGAAACCCTTTTTGGCGAGGTCTGCATGTCATTAATGCGTTCCTGCATGGCACAAGCAGGTGGCTGAGGGCAAAGTGGGTAACAGCTGAGTAGGTAACAACTACTCTCCTTACGTTTCTTTGATTTAGCATTAAAAAGTGAGTATTCCAGGGCATCTAAGAATGCAGTTTCCTTTAATCATTTGATCCCACAGATTCTATTTCCTGAAACGACTCGCGCAATTTGTTAGAAGGCTGATCATCAGCTAAAGCTAATTAAGGCCAGATACTTTACTAAAAGGTACAAAGGATGTCCTCTTTGTAACTGCAACCTGTAAGCTCTTGGTGCAGAGCCAAGCACTGACTAGTAAGAGGATAGGTGGCGCTTTAAATGGTGTCGTTCTGGGTCACTGGAATCCATGCCAGAATCATGACTGTAGAACACACCAAAAGAGTTGTGGTTTGACCTGGTAATATTGACTTTGTTTACATGGTATAGAAATGAGGCAGTGAAGGACACAGAATTGCCAAGGCTCCCTCATAGACCACAATTTAGGATAACAGCCAATAAGACATGAAAACCAACAGTACGTTGACTGTCACATCCCAAGCTGGGCTTATATGTACAAAAGGACACGTATCACACCAGTCTTTGCATTAATAATAGTTTGTGCAGTTGGAGTAAATAGGACTGGAGTGACTTCCGCTTTGGTCCATCTGAGCCCGATGCCACAACAGCACGCCATTGGGCGATAAGCCATGCAGGTGCTCGCGTCCCACGCTATAAGAGGTACAGAAACGCAGGAGAACGGAACCGGAATCACTGCAGCACGATACCGCTATTAGCAATGTGAAGAAAATGCAGCAGAGTTGCTAACAACACTTGTAAAATCTGTTGATATAGTTAAGTGGAATGCAGTACGGAGAAAGAGGGACTGCATTAATACCAACAGTATCTTTATCGCTGTGACTTTCAGCATATATACAGCATTTTTAAAAAGCACAGTTCATTGCTGTAATAGAGCAGGCTACAGTATATCGGATCGGATCGGGTTGGATCAGATCAGATCAACAGACAGAACTACTGGTACTTTGCGGTCTGCTAATTCTGCAAAATGGTCACTCTGAACACAGACCGGCAAAGAGGCCGTGTTACTAAGCAACACCAATGACAGCATCATGCATTAGAATCCTCCTGTGGTGTCATCTCAAAGTTGAGGTTAAGGACTTCCTCAGAGAAAGGAGATGGAAGACGACAGGAAGGAATATTTGCATTTAAAAACAGGGGTCTTGCACATCATGGTTTTGAAGCGTTTTATGTGTTTGAGCTCATGTTCTGGAATTTCTCTCTCAGGTTCTTCACCAAGCCCTGTTGGCTGTTGTCCATCTTTCTGCCTGTGGTTAGGACAGACACATGGGGGCCGTCGAGCTGCTCGCTGGCCACAGCCTTGCCCCCCTCCCTCTGCCGGTATTCGTCTGACTCTTGGTACGCCCTACAGCGGTCGATGACTTCCATGATCGACATCTCTTCCTGGGAGGTCGGTAATTGTTTGTGGGCATAGCCTTCTGGTTCACCTGGCTTCCTTTCCGTCTTTTCTGCTCCACCCCATGACTCTGCTTTCTCCACCACGATGACCTTACGGTCATTGGGCAGCGAGGCCTGACCGGACACATAGTAGCCGTCGGCCAGTTCTCGATCTTGTAAGTTCGGCAGTCTATGATCCAGTGACCTTGATCTACAGAGCTTGTCAATGCCCCTGCCCAGGGGCCCCCTGCTTGCATGGGACTTGTAGATCGGGATATCCTGGGGGCCACCAGAGGCCACCTGGCTGAGTTCAACAGGAGGACTGGAGGATGAGGAGAAGCTGAAGTGTCTCCAGGTGCCTTGGGGCCGCTCAAAGGCATGGTCCATCATCTTCTCAGGCACGGAGCAGCTGCGTTTCACGGCCGAGAGGCGTGGCGGGCCGCTGTTGGGGCCCCGCTGGCAGTACCGCGACCGCAGTTCACGCACATCTGGCCAGTGGAAGCTCTCAGCTTGTACGGGGCTCAGTGGGCTCCGGGAGCTCGAGCGACCAGGTGACAGGATGTGGGGGCTACCCAGGGAGCTGGGGGTGTGGGCTGGGCTGGGGGAGTGCACCTCCCTCAGGATGACCTGCTCATAGGTGTTCAGCGGCAGCAACAAAGTAGGTTTACCTGCAACACAAAGAACTTTTACACTCGAGACCTGATCATGTGCATCCCTGTGACGTTCAGGACTCCTGTTCCTAGCAGAATCCCCCACAGCTGCAATTCCCAATACTACCCATACAGCATGTTTTTCAATTAATAACTAAATTTAATATACAAAATTAAACAGGATCTGTTTACAAACAAAGGTGCGCCTTCATGGAATGACCAATTACTGCAGCCAACAGCAGCCAACAGCACCGATGTTGCTTTAGCTCATCGTTTTGCTCCAAATAGTAAAATTATACTACCATACTCTCACCCTTATTAAAAGCTACTTTTTTCTTCTTCAAAGTAACAGAAGAGAAACGTTACTCAAACAGATCACATAAAAAAGCCTCTGAGTTAAAAGTGGACAGAAGAAAATGTGTGTTTAACAACTGGCTTCTGTTCTTGTGGTCCTATACATTCCGTTCAGCATGTGGTAACAACCAGACTGATTAATAGACTCTTCAATTCCCTACTGAGAACCTTATACCACAGCACACCCTATAAGTGCTGACCGACTGAATGTTCTAACATGTCTGATTCGAGCGGCAAGAAACAGCAAATACTACAGAACTTTTAAAACAGTCAACATTCTGGTGCTTTAACTGTCCTGGCCTTACCTTTGTCCTCCACATCCAGCTTTTCTTCCTGTACAGATGGCAGGTTCTTCTTGAGGAAGTGGGCCTCAGCGTCCCTCCCTCGTTGCCTCACCGTGGGCCTGGTGTTCTTTATCCTCTGGCTGTACTGCCGGGCCAGCTGCAACACCTTGCTCTTCATCTTCTCCATGTCCTGCTGAAGCAGGTCCTCCTCCAACTCTGAGCCCAGGCTAATTATCCTGGGTACAGGAATTCGAGGGACCCTCCCCTCCTCGTATGGGTCAAGGCTTTCACCCAGGCTGTCTAACTGCAGTTTCCCCTCTTCTCCATCTTTGGAGGACTTAATGGGTGAGACCACAGAGGACTCTTCTGAGATTGTGCTTAGTTCAGACTCTTCCAGAATAATCAGTGGTTCACTGTATTTGGCCTCAGGACCACTCTTGCCCCTCTGGGACAGAGATGGCCCAGAATTCGTGTTCTTCTGAGATTTCAGGCTATCCTGGTGCTCCGTTAAGTCCCCATTGACTTCCATCTCCATCTCCTGCCATACCTTGATCATTTCAGAAGAAGGCCTAAACTCATCATCTGTAATGGGGATCTCACTGACACTCGGAGATGGGAGCTTGGTGCTTTGGAACACCTCCAAATTGGGATCAGGAAGCTTGGCTCCTGCACCCTGATCATTTTCTAAGCCTGGGAGATCAAATACAGACCAGGAGGGTGTCCTGGAATTAGAAATAGGCTTCTTCTCTGCAACAGATGCCTCCTCCTTGGGAATGCTATTGAGTCGGCTACTTAGGTTCCTAACCAGTCCAACTGGAATGTAGGATAAACTCTCCCTTCGCTTGAGGCTGAAGTTAGCATCCTGGTCCTCCGCATGCTCATAGTAGGTCCTGATCTTATCAATAAGCAGGCGGTCTCGCTTAGACAGCGTGTCTCGCCTCCTAATAGACCCTCGGTCTAACTCAAAACAGTTGTCAGCACTGGAGGAGATGGGATCCACTGCAGGGGTAGGAGGTTCCTGAAAGGTCTCACCAAGGCTGAGGGCACTGGCAGTCCTGCTACGGGTGCTCAGCCGCGGTGAGGAACAGCTCAGAGACCGCGTTTCATCTGCAAGGAGGCTTTCCCTCCGGGAGAGACTACTGACAAAGCGCTCGGCAATAACGCTGGCCTGGTCCAGCACCGACTGCGGCAGGATCCTAGCTGGCTCCGGGTCCTGGGCCATTTCCTCTTCTTCATCATCATCCTCATCCTGTGTAGTCTCCCCACTGCTGAGAGACTTGGCCTCTACTAACTGGGGGACAAGCAGACCCTCTGTCATCCCTTCTCCATCACGCAGTTGCTCAGAAGGAGCGACAACTTCAGGATTCTCATGAGCAACACGCATGTCAGTGGGTTCAGAATCAGAGGCATCTTCCATTTCGTCTTCGGTGACACCAATCTCTGGGGCACCACTATGAGGATGCAGCTTATCCTCAGGGGCCTGGGGAAGGATAGGGAAGAAGTAATTAGCAGATGTGCTCAACTATCTATGAGGCTCTTTAATTACCCTTATATCTGGGCTGAATGTTATGTTTTTATTTCTTTTCTAGGAAATGACATGATAGATTTTGATGGATCTGTGCCCATACAGTAAAATTTCATTATAAAGAGACACATGATCAGCTATTTCTACACGATGAATCATCTGCAATTGCAGCATAATGGTCAGTCAATAGTGACGCACAATAAAGTCCATGGTGTGCAGAACACGCAGCGTTACAGGGCCCAGGTGGTAAGGGAACATTCAGCGATGCAGAAAGGGGATCGCCAGCTGGTCGGCTGGAGAGGTGCTCATTTCAGGAGCCGGATTCCTGCGGGAACCACCCACTGATGCCAAAACGTTCCCACATTTGCCACAAGCAACGGAGGGAGGTGATCCACGGGTTTGTGGGCGTGGGTTGAGTGGTTGCTATTTTCATGACAAAAAGTACTCTTAGTGCAACCGGCTGCATGGCCCCAAGCTCGGATCCAGCTGAAACTCGTATGCGTGAAGCAAGTCTTTCACTGAGCTCTCAGAGTTTGGAACTGAAGAAATGAACAGAGCTGGGCATCGATTTCAACTGCAGCGCAGCTGTCAACTGAATACAGCAATGACCAGAGGCATGGGTGACCGCCGAGGAACAGGGACCCTTAGCAACAACTCAAGAGGTACACCAGAAACCAAAGCTCAGGTTTTTAAGAGCGAATCAGTTTTGATCCATATCTGAGCATGAAAAAACTACCCTCTTTTTAAATATCCAATTCAAAACTTCTCTCAGTCTCGCTTTTTCAGACACTTGTCACTCACATGATGCTCTTTGGGGTTGCCATCCTCAGTCGGTTCGTCCCGTCCACACTCTTGTTTCGGTGAGCCCTCCCCTGTACCCTCACACCCATTTTCATCCTATGGGGGTCAAAAACAGAAATGGCAGGAGTGAAGTCTTCCTGGGCGGGTATTCAACTAACACAGAGTGCTGACAGATTGATATCCCTGCATAGTCAGTGATCACGACATGCGAGATGAGATGGTCCTGTCTGTCCATTATGTGGCTTTAGGATGCTGCTAGCTAATTAAGGTTAGCACCTAAAATGTTTTTCCTCCATTCTACCGTTTTAGGAATAGACTCACTTAAAAGTTCAATCAACATCCTGTTTTGATTCTTATAAGAGCTCCTTTCAAACAGCCCTTATTGTCAAAAAATCAAAAGGCAAGCCCACTGCTCATTTAATCACCAAAGGCAAAGTGTGGCTTACTTTAATGACCTTCGAAAAATACACCTTTGAAGTTGTCCACTAATTCTGAGCTATTGAATGAAATACAAACAACCATTGAATCTGGAGGTCTAGTAATCTAATTAGTATTACCCTACAGTGCTTATCAAAACTCCAATGCATTTCAAGTCAAGTCAAGAGAGAGTTGCCCGTTACTGATTCTCCCATCTACTACATGTGTGCAGCCAAAAGAGGAGCACTGTGCACACTGGAGCTATTTAGGAATGAACATCAGACCATAATCAAATAATCAGCTGCATAAGCCATGCTATGGCATCCGCAGTTATGTTATATTATGATCATGTGACCATACTTTGCCTCTGTTAGAATAAGAGCCATGAGCTCATAGTTACATACAAAGTACTCAGGATTACTTTCAGTATCCAAATTACCTCAAATGACAGAATTCCAGTTAATTTGGAATGTATTAACCAATATTTCAAAAGCACATGACATTGTGTAAAAAAATAAAATAAAAATCCTGTGAAGGAAATGTTTTCATTTGCACCCACAGCAGAATTTGTGCAGTTATTGAAGCAGATTATATCTGTTGATGGTCATGCAGGGTTATTAGTCCGTGAACCAGGATAAAAGCACAGGGTGACCACCATCTCCTGAGAGAGACTGGACCGGTGCATTGACCGAGCCAGCGCCTTAGCGACACCTCATTGACATGAGGAACGACATACGAGTGGAGGCCAACTCAACAGCCTCGTCACAGCCTTGGGGCGGACTCCGCCCTACAAACCGAGGCAGAACCGACCCCTTCAGGGGTCGCGCAGTCACCCTTATGCCAGGACCAGGTTACCAACTGCAATTACATTTCTTGAGCATCATTACCATCATTCCGGGGAGGGAGTGGGAGAGTGTTCAAGCCATGCACCAAGTTAATGTGAAGGTAAGAGTGAAGATGCTCCATGCGTCATTCAGAGTTTCATTCAGTGTCTGTTAGCTGCAGCCTCTTTGGTTACTTTGTAAGTGGATTACGGCACAACGTGAGCGTGCGAGCCAACGCTTTCGATTGGCCAAGTGGCGAGGTTAGGTGGGAGTGGTGGGGAGGACAAATGGGGGAGTAAGAAGCCCATTGGTGGCAGAGAGCCTCACCGTTGTGAACCGAGCAAAAAGCAAAGCCTTGGCTCTATAGTGCCAGCAGGAGATGGCGGCCAACATGGAGCTGGCAAAGTCGGCTACCTGGTCGTCCCCCATCAGAATATCGTCCTCGTTATTCTCCCAGTCCTCCTGCGCCACCCTTTCACAGGGAGGTGCCCCTGGTCTAGGTTCCTCACTGTCACTAGGGGAGAGCCGCTCAAAAGAGTCCTTCTGGACTCCCGGCTCCTCATCATCATCCTCCACACTAGGCCTTTCAGCCTCAGGCTCGCCTTGGCTTGAGCCCAAGGTGCTGACACTAGCTCTGGCCTGCAGTGAGCGCCTGTCGGCCTGCAGGGCACCTTCGCTGTCTGCGTGCTGTAGTACGAAGCCAGAGAAAGTCAGTCAGGTGTTTTATTGTTATGCGGCTCCAAGATTCGGGTGTCGGTTTCGATTTTTATGGTGGGGGGGGGGGGGGGAAAGAAGATTTATCCGTCATAACAACTAAGGAGGGCATAAGGATAGCAGTGAATTTATAGTACTGATCAATTTTATTGAATGGGAAGAACAGAATAAATAAAAATGAAAAGAAAACAAAAAAATAAAAATAAACCAAATTTATGACAAGAAATCAATGTCCAATTTTATGTGCAGAAGGGAAGACATCTGCAGTACTTTGGGTTGCATTTCTGTTGCCAGTTGATTTATGTCTGGGGAACTAGGTAACCTTAAATCCTGTCACAAAACCAGTTTACAGTTGGCTTACAGTCAAACTGAACCACATCCAACCGTCTGACAGCGGGAACTGGAGATGGACACGTCATGCCACTGGTCACAAAGGGGCAACGTGCATTCATGACTAATAGGACCTTAGCCAAACACTGATCGGCGAGAAACATCCAAGCACAGAGACCTAATGGTCATGAGGTTTCAACGAATGGTCTTACCTTGAGAATGGCTGGAGGAGGATGCGAAATCACATGGGAAGCAAAATCCGAGAAAAGAGGGATGGAAGATGTCAGACATGAGAAAACAACCACAGGTTCATAATGCTGCAAACACTCGCTCCCCAAGATGGATAAGAGCGGGAAGATTTTCTCGAGATTATCTCGTGGGACACGTGATGGCCATTTTTACAGGTAGTACAGCAATTTTAGAAGCTCCTGCAACTTACTGAAGTCAAGAAGGCAAAAGAACAAGATGTTTCCTTATCCTACCCAGTGCAAAAACGTCATCTCTGTAATTGGGTCATTATAAGGAACACAAATGAAAAGGGCTGTTTTCCAAGTCACGCCTCTTCAGAGCAATTGCTACCGACTCCCCCTCCCCCCAGCATTGGTGAAGGATCCTCAAAAATAGAAATGAAGAACGTCGAGTTCATTACACTCCCATCTAAACTGCTTCTAATGGCAGGGGGGAAAAAACATCTTTTCATCCCTAGCAAATAATAATTCACAAATGGGATGCTCTACCGATCTGCTGCCAAAACCGAGCTTGGCTACAGACGGGAGTCAAACTGTTTTAGGCCATGGCGTTGCGGACAGCACTGCCTGCAGGCGAATATCCAGCCTGGTTGACTGTGTCTGGGGCCTGTCAAGCTCATGAAGGAGTCCTCCTGGAACTCCTTCACCCTGGCAAAAATTATCCCCCGTTCCCACTCAGCTAAATATACTGGGGGAACCCTACCAGAGGGCCTTGACATCTTGTCAAGGGGTCCAGAATTTCTAGCTACGTCCCTGCGGACAGGCAGGCCACTGGCATAGCGTCTCTACTATTCCTCCCGGCCGCCTGCTGAGTGCTTCATTGAAGGGCAGTGAGCAAAGCAGAAGCGACATCCTTTCTTATATAACAGAGAGCCTCCCTTAGGTGCGGGCATCACACTGCATTATATGGGTAAAATCTGTGTTGCCATGGGGTCAAATGTGTGTATAAACAGTTTTTCGTCACTTACCTTTGGTGCTTTTGATGATCTGCTTGGCAGGTTCTAAAGAGGGAATCAAAATGGAAAGTGAGTACTACTTAGGGGGAACAAAACATGAATTTTTATTGCTAACTGTAATATAAAGTTTAATATATATTTATGGTGCTGGCTGTTGTCAACATGTCATATCACAGTAGGTGGCACGTAACTGACTCGAAAACAAAATGTAAAACTGAGACATCGGCTGACGTATAGAATCAGCAGAAGAAACCCCAGTGCTGCTTCTGTGGTCCATAAAAGACTGTTCCTGACCATCTTGTGTTCTGGAGATGGTTCTTACCTGACCGGCGTCGCCCTCGTCGCCCTCCACCCGGGAATTCGTCTGAACTGTAGGACATGGCCTTCTTAAGCCTCTCCGGGCTGTACCGGTACTTTGTAGGGTCTGGAATGTGGAAGGCAGCCCATGTGCATGAGTGCGAGACCCTCATATGGTCACCTGGCTGAGCTTTCTCTACAGGAGATGTCTCAGAATTTCAGGCTAATGTCAGCAATGGCTCCCCACATCCCATTGAGATGCTCCGCTTAGATTTGAGATTCAACATGCTATATTTTAACAAGAGCAATGAAATGCTTACTTGCTCAACCACACCCAATACAAATGATCAGCACGCACGTAACAGACAAGAGACACGCTTAGACATCACACTTCACGTCTTAGACAAGTATTTTGCAAAACACTGAAAACTGCTGCGTACACCACCAGTCAAAGGTTTTTGCACACACTGACATTTTCTACATTTACATCTTACTCACTTAACATTTACTAAAAATACACTCAATATTCTTTGCTAACAAATAAATCTACAGTATGTTCACCATTTGAGTTCCTTTATTAGCAAGAAAATGTCATACGTTTGATTCATCAAAGTAACCACCTCTAGCAGTTATAACAGCAGAGAAAATTCAAGGTATTCTTTCTACAAGGGGCATTAAACAGTGCTCTGTTACATGGGGTGAACCAGTTAACCAGTGCATTTAAAGTAAAAGGACAGCCTAGAATTTGACTATGCCATAACCACACAGCCAGTCCATGGGATCTCAGACATGCATTAGTACATACTCTTTCCATATTACAAAGGAAACTTGTTTTATTTTACTATATTTTCATTTACTCACCTTTAATGCTTAACAAGAATAAAAAAAATCTGCAGTTTATGAAATAAACTGAAAAGTGTTAAAACCTGTGGTAGTGTACAAGGTAGTGTACAACATGACTAGTAGTGCACAAGTTAGTGTATGAGGTAGTGTACAAGGTAGTGAACAACTTTTGACTAGTAGTGTACAAGCAGACAGATCTTACAACCCCCCCCATAAAAGGTTTACCTGAAATGTGCTAATACAGTCTTCTCAACTGTTTTTTTTATAGCACTGTGAACATGCTAAACTTTCAGCCATTGTTAGTCACTAAGCTGCACTGCCCATTTAGCCTGAAGAAACCAAACAGTCTGGTGCGACCACACCAACACTCACATATGGAGTCCATTTCCAGGATGGCCTCCTTTGCCTGAAAGACAGAAAGAAGCGAAGATGAACACACTGAAGACAACAGAGACAGACAGGATCCCCCAAGGAGAAGCCGGACACAAGGTGCACCTTCTCTGGGATGATGGCATGGTGGTTCTCCAGAATGAGCCTCTTAATATGATGGGTCCACAGCCTCTTCTCTTCCACTGTCTTGGCCTGAAGGAGAAACACAGAGCGTCAGCGGCGTCCCGTACAGCATATGCAGGGAAGGGTCCCCGAATGGGACAAAAGGCACGGGAAACCTGGTAGGAGCTCAATCAGATATCTACCAGTCACCAGTAGGACAGTCTCAAAAAACACGCAACAGTCCTACATTCTCCAACTAAGATTTTAAAATTGATCTGTATACACTTCAAAATACTATACTGGTCACACTTATCTCAGTTATATATTTTATAACACTTCTGTGTGATCAAACCATTACTACAGGCAGCAGCTGTAGTCTCTGGTCTCCAAACATAATGTCAAACTGACCTTTATCAGAGAAAGAGAGCTTTTCCTGAACAGTAAACCAGATCAGGCGATTTTCAAATTCATCTGCTTAACTGATTACTTATTTCCTCTGACAAATTCAGCCAATATGCCTTTGGCCAGAGACCTTCAACCACCACCAACAGATCCAGCTCAGTTCCAGATGAAAACATGTTGCTTATGCAAAACGGTCCCAAAAAAAAGTTAGACAATACTGCTGAAACATACCCATCATAATCGTATCTCCCTCATGCCCAGATATCGAAAGTTAAGGATTTTTCGACAGTGGGTAACATCGGATTTCCACTGAACATCACAGCGCGGCCTCAACGCACAAGCACAACAAACTAAACCACAAATCACATGAGACGAGGCTTTAATGGGCCACATGGGCCAGAGCGCTCACCTGCACCGTGTGGGGCTGCTTGGGGTACTTGAAGCGCGTCACACTGAAGCACAGGGAGTCCTTGGCGCTATCGATCAGCATCAGTGCAGAGCACTGGAACGGGAGCAGGTTGGGTTAGGTTAATGCTGAACACGCCCGGGCCCAGACGGGCCTGTGCCGGCCCTCACGGCTGCCACGGGACGCTCACCAAGATGTTACTTTTGTGCTCATAGTGCTCCCCCCGTTTCTTAGTGATAAGGAGGATCTTGTCGAAGAGGAAGAGCGTCCGCTCGTTCTTAACGCGATGGATCCGGAACGTGCCCTCCAGGACCAGCTCGCCGTAGGTGGTGAGATCTGGTCCCTTCCAGTTGATGAGCAGAGACTGAATCTCCTGTGTGGGCAGAGTGGAATCATTAGATTAGATTAGATTTCTTTATTGTCATTGTAGAGAGTACAACAACATTTTTTGCTTAGAAGCTCAAAACCGATGCAGTTTTAGCACTGAAACCTTCAAGGCTACCTGGCAGAACAGAAGATAAAATGGAACCACAATGGCAGCCACTTTCTCCTGCGATAATGGAAGGCCTTATGTACTCATGTATGAGGGGCTAACGACTCACCTGCAGCCTGATGGCGTGCTCGTGCTTGCGCTTCATATCGTTGATGTACCAGGCCACCCTCGTCATGGTGTCGATGGCTTCTTCCACCACCTCATAGCCCTCTTCCTCGGGGTCAAAGTGCTTGGCGATCTCCTGCAGCGGGCGAGAGGACAGTTGTCAGTAGATGCTGGGAGGAGCTTGTCGACCAGTGGTTGTGGGTTTTGATTAAGGGCGTGCGGCCTACAAGGAAAGGGGTGGCAGGAAGGGCCTTGCGTGGGCATGACCTGCTTTTGAATGGCGGCCCCCTGGCAAGCTGCGCCTATGGACGACTGGCTGTGGAGATCCTACCTGCAGCAGCAGGTGATACTTGAGGATCCTCTGCACAGGCTTGAGCAGGTAGGAGCCCAGTGGCAGGGAGCACTTCAGCGAGGCCTGACGGTCCCGGAAGAACTTGGCCAGGACCTTGTTCTGCATGCATTCTGTCAAAGCGGCGACTGAGCTGTAGGGGGATGGGGAAGGTATGGCGGGAGGGTCAAACACATGGTGGATCTCTCTCTCTCTCTCTCTCTCTGTCCGTCTATCTTGCCTTTTCTTTCTGGTTCCCATCACAGACCTATTTCTCCATCCATTTTGCCTTTCTGTAATTTTCACCTAAACGCATTTTGATGGCAGTAAGATGAGACCATTTGTTGCTTTCATTTTGCTCACTGTAGTCTGGGGAATACCATTACCATTGGCACCCAGGCTCAATTTCCCAACCAACACTATTCCACCATAATTCAGTTTGGTTCCATTAGTTTTCTCGATACAGACAGTAGCCTTGGAAAGCCACACTAAGTACTACGGTGTATGTTGGTGCCCCCTTATGCAGTCTGGGAAAAGTCATGCAAGTGGACATATCAATGATGAAAACTGAGCAAATTATGTGGGCAATGTTAATGTGCTTCCGGAGGCTCAGTACTGCGGACGCCAGCCTGAAGGATCTTTTAGAGTTTAAGTGACGATTGAGGGCCTCGGATGTCTCAAAATGGACATCATAAACAGGAAGACGACACACAGATGAATTGCAGCTGGGATGCAGCGGGCTGGAGAGAGTCAGGCATTCTGAGTTCTCATTCATCCGGATCAAACCGGCTTCCTCTAGTTCACCTAACTGCATAGTGCTTTTCTGACAGGGCCTGTCCTGTCAGATTTCCACTCAGAACTTTAGTGATATGATAGCTGCAGGGGGCTCTATTTTAAATCTTACATTTTTAACTGGTGTAACATGGGGGCTGTTTTGACAGCTGTCAGACTGCCACGTCCTGTTTATTAAAATCACACAGAAGGGTTTGAAGAGTTTGTGACGAGAGACACGGCACTGTCTGGAGATATCGGCACAAAGCCGTACATTTTACGGTCTTAGCATGGGGTTTTTACTCTGACATGCAGGCACCCAACTCACATTCACCAGGGAATGACCTTCCTGATCAAATTAACTGCACTGCACTGAGGCTGTTTTTGCCAAGACGGTGCCGAGTTTCAGAGTCACATCGCTTGGACATTATGGGTGCGCTGTTTCCCGTGCCTCATTAGTTCTCCATCAGCTGGGCTGAACATATCAATCCGACAAGGGACCAAATTTTCCTTTCATGCTCCAGCGACTGACAGACAAAGGTAATAAAAAAAATAAAAACTGTAACCACAGCAGTCACTGAGGCTCATTATGGTTTATTGAGCTATGGGGCAACAGCGAGATTAAAAGCGGGGCAGCTGGCTTAATGACTGCCTGATCAGCAGTGGCCACAAGATAGTCACACGTCCGACTTACTTGGGGTAGTTTGTGCAGTACTGGGTGTAGATCGTGAAGTACTCACTCTGCAAAAAACCCCAACAGAGAAAGGCAGATGTCAAGCGGATGGCATCCATTTCGACATATACAGAAAGAAGCACAAACAGGACAAGGCGGACGCTTCTGCTCACCATGTCCACGAAGCATCTGGCGATGGCCACGGGGTCGTTGTCGCACTGGTTCAGAGACTGCAGAAGCTCGCTGGGACAGAACAGAGGAGGCCAGGGTGAGAGGGGCAGCTGTCATGCGGCACTTTTCCACTGGCACCAAGAACCGAGCCGTACCGGGAAGAGACGGTTTTCCACTGTAAATTATGCAAGCCGTACCCAAACTGTACCCATACTGACATGCTCCTGCTTAGCCGGGCCGAAAGCGTGACCAAACTCAGCTGCTTGCATCACCACCATCTGATTGGTCAAAATGCATGGAGATACCGGTTGCCTGCTAATGGATTATCTGAAGGAAAATGTGTATATTCTATATATTATTCATTGTTAGTAGTATCTCACATCACAATGTATTGTTGCGTTCTTGATGATTCAGAACCTGAAAATTTCCAATCTCCTACTCAAAGAAGTACTGTAGAACGGAATGGATTCGTAATGCAAATGTACAGAAACGAATGCTAACGGAAATTAGCACATAGTAAATCCTGACGCACGCTGTGTGAACAGTAAATAATGTCACCGTCTCCAAGACAACGACTGCAGTGGATTATTGAAGCGGGCTGGAACCGTGCTGTAATTAGTGTCTCTTTGCGCCACAGGTCGGGTATGGCCAGGTTCCTGTACGTCAGTGGAAAAGCACCAATAGAGCCAGCAGGACAACCCAACCCTGTGGAGTGAGGTCCAGATGATGCACTTTTCTCTTCTTACCTTTGGGGTCAGGTGCCACTCAGACACCATAAGGCTTCACTGAATGCTACAGTGCTTTGGCTCTCACGGACCAGGGATGGGTTACCGTCACACCAAAGAAACCGGGTGACGACAAGCCACAACAGCAAACCATTTCCGAGCACTTGTTTTCAGTCATTTTTCAGTTCGCACAGAGGCCGGTCAGGGCCCATGGAGCTACAAGGAAACCCCCGAAATGGAGAACACGGTCCTGGCGTTGCCATGGAGAAATGATATGGGGCAGGAGAGCCACACAGGGAGATGTCACCACACATGCAGTCTACAAATGTCTAAAGGCGCTCAGCCCAAAATTTGAAGGAGGGGTCATTTTCCTTCCAAGACAGGCTGAGAAATTAAGGGGGACAGAACAGAACACAGATAAGTCAGGGGTGTGAAAAGGTACGGCATGATTGGAGCATACAGTGAGTCACTCCCACAGGGCGGGTCATGAGCGATTATGAGTTGGACAGGCTTAATGAGAAGATAGGAAATGTGACGACACTGCAGACATGCCCCCGGCCCCAAACACACCCCTCCCCCCAGTGGAAGGAACGCGACGGACTCGAGCAGTGTGCACAAACAACTCTCACACGCGGTACCTGGGCCATCAGTGCAAATTACCCCAGTATCCTGACCAGGCATTTCCGGCCCTAAAACATCAGGACGACAGACTCAGCCAAGATAAACAAAACAAATAAGTTTCTCAGACAGCAAACCGAAAGCCACTAAAATAAGGTCTGGGGATTTTCAGGGGCCTGGCCCCAAAACCCACAAGCTGCATCGCCATATTCCTGGTGGAGAGACAGTCCATCCAAGCAGATAAACAGCACGGCCATCTTGCCATGATGGGGGCGGTTGCAGTTGGTGGTTTAGGTACCTTAACTCCATAAATGCTTCCTGCTAATTAGTACTTCCCCACCACAGAGTTCTGTTCACCTTCTTTTTTGACTTTGATTAGGTTTAAAATATTTTATTTTAACCTGCAAACATTAAATCTTCCTTCTGTTAATAGTGGTATGAAAACTATATGGACGAGGGGTGGGGTTATTGTGACCTCTATCCCTGTGACTGCCCCCCCGTACCACCCATTTGGGACGCTGACGAGCTGAAGTGTCACCAAAGAGGGAGCTCCATTTCTGACAAATGGCTTTGCCACTGATGTGCCCCGGGGGGCATGTGGGGGGGGGGGGTATTTGGAAAAGAAAGAACTAGTTTAACAGGCAGACCAGCTCTGGCATGATGTGGAAGTATCTTGCTGATGCGAGTCCCGGCTTCCTGAGGGGGGGATCTGCAAAGGTTGTTTCTTTGGGAGATGTGAGGATATGGAACCAGAACAAAACCCAGGGCAAGGGAGCACGGACCCCCTCCAGGGTGTGAAAGGGACCCCGGCCAAGCCAGTCCATGTGCCTTTGGATGAGGGAGAGGCTCACCTGTTGAACTCGTAGATGTTCTCAATGTTTCCGAAGAGGGCACACACGTGCTCCGGCCTAATGGGCAGGTCCGCTTTGTCAATTATGTGCGCCAAGTAATCCTGCAAATCCAACAAGACCGTGTGAGCACATCAATTCACCCAATTACTGCTTAATTAATTCATGTAATTAATTACATTTCTGAATTGACTAACAAATGCCGGCATGTGCATCGTTCTCCCAATCAACTCGGAGAGCGATATTAAAAGAGCTTCTCTTTAAATCTAAACTGAGAGTCTATCTGTGAATAACTACAGGCTTTGCCCAAAAGGGGGAGCCAGTGCACAGCCAGTAGAACCTGAATGCAATCAGAGCAGATCTTCTGATTTTTTCCCCATTATATCCTGTTCCTGGCGCAGGCAGCATGACATCTTGCGCTTACCCTAGTGACCACTTCCTGTCTCAGGTAACAGAATAAAATAACATATTCACCTAGCAGTCTTCAGCTTTTATGGAATACAGTCAGACATAAGGCAATTTAAGATAAAGCAGAGTCGTAACATAAGCACTCAGTGTCAGATTTTACGTCACATGACCGCCGCATATCTTGGCTTATTATAACATTAGCATAACGTCATTAATTGGACTGAGGTTAGTAGACCGAGTTATTGTCTGGCTGTTGAGGCCCCGTGTCTGTGTTTGCTCTGCAGTGGGAAAGGACCCCTAAAATCAGAACGCAGACGCTGAGATGTTTAGGGGACTTTCTGGGCCAGTCTGGGTCGGGCTCATGTTATTGTTGGCGAGGCAGACATGCCGGTGCTGGCAGAGCGTTGCTGGTGAGGGTGGGAAGCTGGGGATGGACCGCCAGTGAGGTGTGGTTACTCAGGCTGACCTGGAGGGGGCGCTCTGCCATGCCAAGACCCCTCAGTATCAAAGAAGGAGCATGACCCATCCCTTCACATTCAGATCATCGAACCCAGAACTCAGAATGACAGTAGGGATACTGTCTCAATTACAATTACAAATACAATTACAGTTACAAGCTAATCGATTGTATGTCTTTTCAGCCTATCGTTGTCTGTGGTACAATCTGTCCAAACCCAAATTCCTTCAAATCCTCATGATGCACCACAGAGGCATTGCCCTCGATCCCAAAGTCACTGCGCCCTTCTGTTTATGTTTTATGAGTTTAATATCCCCTCAGAATGTGCTGGTGCTGAAATTCACGGCACAAATTTGTTTAATCACCTTTTTGGGGGAGATTAGATATATTTAGTAACTTGTGTTTTCAGCACCGCACACATAAATCAAAGAGAATGTTCATTAAAAATCTTGTTTTTGAGCTGTGCCAACCGCTCCGGCCTTACGATGCTCCAAAGATCTCCGAGGAGGGGGAGAGAGGAGAGAGGAAGCCGGCAAACACAAGGCGGACATGGAGACTGGTTTAAAAGCACCAGGGGGAGGGAGTGGACCAGGCTCCATGCAAATGCTGGCTTTGAATGCTCACAGCAGGGATGGAATGCAAAGAGACCAGCAAGAGTCCTCTGCTGCAGAAGACAACAAATAGGCATTTAGAGCACAAAGGGGCGTGGCCTGCTGCAGGTCAGTCAGATCACTCTTACAGTGGGTGCAGGTGGGACTCGTGCAGCACAGTGCACTACAGCACCTTCTCATCACCAGGACTGCCTGCTGCTTAAGCAGGCCCTGTACGTTCACCTTCGGGCCACCTGAGGAGACCACAAGCCTGAGCAGCAAGTTCAGCTGAGACCATGGAGGCAGCCAGGGGGAGGGTCACGTCCACCACAAAGCCTAAGGGCGCAACGGACGGCATCCGGCGGTGAGCAGGGGCGGGCGGGGAAAGAGACGCTGAACTTCCCCTGACGGCCTGGAGAAAAACGCTGCCAGACATGAGGCCAGAGTCGGCTTCTCTGAAAATACACAGAACAGAGCCTTGGCTGCCAGGGAAAGGTCTGCGATTCAAAGTGTGGGAGGTGTGGGACTGTGTGTGCGGGGGTGGGGGGGCACAGAGTAGGAAAGGGGGCGGGTTGGGTTCACTCTGCACCTGAAACAACACTCCAATAGTCAAGCTCGCACTCCGCATGTCAAATTGCTGCACTCCACAGACACACCAGTCTTCAGTTACGAGATGGCCAACTGCTAGGCTCTCTCTCTCTCTCTTAGCCGGTCTGTCCCTCTCTCTCTCTCTTAGCCGGTCTGTCCCTCTCTCTCTCTCTTA